TTTTCGCACATCACAGGAGGTTCTTTGTTGTTGGTGCTGTGGGCATGAAATGTACGCCACTTCCTCTTTTTTATTGTCGAAAATCCTGGCATTAGATGGTGTGTGCGCAAGAAAGAAATTTGTAGAGCAAACACGAGGTTACCTTGTGCATGTATACGACAAGACGCTCGTATGTACCGGTGCACTCGTGTGTGACGCTGCTGCGCAATAGTTGGCTGTGCGGCCCCAGCAAAACACACGTGTTCTACCTACATCTGCAATCAAAAACTACATTCGTGACCACCTCATGGAGTCTGATTATTGTCTCTTTTCGTTTCCACTACGTACCGCAGCACGGCACAGCAGCCGGCACGGAGCAAGAAGCGCGAAGGCGATGCAGGTGCGGGCGGAGGCGGTGGGGCGAGTGGCGGCGGCGGCGGCGGCGGCGGCGNTCAGCAAGGGGTACGTCACAAAGCTGATGATGCCCGACAACATCGCTAAGCCCAACAAGGCGGTCCAGATGGAGCTCAACCCGGAGGCCCGCCGCGTCCCGGACCTTTTGAGGCGGAGTTGGAACAGCGTGTTCTCAAGTGGATCAAGATTGCGCGAGAGCGATTCATGGTGAGGGCTGACGTTGGACGCCGGGTCGGATAAGGTGTGTGTTGATCCAGCTTATCAGCTGTACGTCCCTCGTTTAAGAATTTCTGTTTGCGTTTTGTTGGGTATGGTTTTCGATCGCGTCGGTCCTTTCATGTCCCCACACATCATGGTACCGACTTGCCTTCAAAATCCGATGCACCTACAACTGCAGCCGCTGACGTCCGTTTCTTGCTGCTGTTGCCGTTGCTCTTCCCTCTCTACAATTTTGCAGACAACAGAGATCGGGCTGAGCGGCACAATGATCCAACATCGGGCCGTGAAGTTCGCGTCCGAGATGGGCATCAAGTTCGCTGCGAGCAACGGTTGGCTTCACCGCTTCCTCAAACGCTACCAGTTGAAGCACATCAATCTGCACGGGGAAGCTGGCGACGTGGACCAGGAGAAGGTGCAGGAGAAGATTGCGAAGATTCGGGAGCAGCTGAAGGAGTTTGACGTCGAGTTCATCTTCAACATGGACGAGACGGGGCTTTTCTACCGCTGTTTCCCGAGAGGCACGTACGTCACGAGGCAGGACGACGCTGCTGGCGTAAACAAAAAACCGCGCGGGGCTCGAAGGCCATGAAGGCCAAGGACCGGTGCACCGTGGTGGCCTGCTACAATACAACCGGCTCGCTGATGGTGCCGCTGGCGTCATTGGCACGGCGGCAAATCCGATGGTTTTTCGCAAGGTTCGCGAGCCACCTTGCCCCTACTACGCCCAGGCCAGCGCCTGGCTCGATGCATCCCTCTGCCAGAGGTGGTTCGACGAGGTTTTCGTCCCGTTCATCAACAGCAAAACCGCGAGGAAGGTGGCCCTCATCTGGGACAACTGCCCCGGCCACAAGATCATCAACAACGACCCGCAGATCGTCATCATCTTCTTGCCGCCCCTCGTCACGTCCGTTTTTCAGCCGATGGACATGGGGGGCCTCTTCACCCTCAAGTGCCATTACAAGACCGAGATGGTGGTGAGGCTGTCGGGCGTCATCGAGGACTGGGACACCGTTCGTGCGCGCAACATCCCCACGTAGGAAGATGAGCTAGCATGACGTTGGTTTACGCATTGATACTGATTTTTTGTGAGAGAATCGTGGTGGTGGACACGTTTGTCGTCCCATTCAAAATAGAACAACCTGCCGTTACCGGTTATCCATGCATGAAATAAGGAGCATGCTCCCTCCTTCCCTCCTTGTAACCCGGCGACCCTGCGCTCTTCTGCTTTTTCAGGGGATGTCGGGGGCTGAGCGATGCAGGCCAGGCGACAATGCTGGACGTCGCTGAGGTCCTTACCCAGAAGTGGGAAAGTTTCTCGGACCAGACTGTTGTCAGGTGCTGGCTCAAGGCCACCATCCTTTCCGAGGAGCACGAGGACGTCCTCAAGAGGAAGGACACGCGGCTCGCTGGAAAGGACAACGGGAAGGGGGGGGAGGTGAGGGACAAGGGGGGGGACACGGGCGAAAGGGGACTCGTCGACGGCCTTTGCGACTTGGTCGCGAAGCTGTCGATGCCAGACAGCGTCGACGTCACCGACGCCAGAAAAATTCCAGGGGTGTTGACGGACAATTAGTTTGTCGAGAATAACTCGGGCCTCACTGATGTAGAAGTGCGAAAGGCAATTAAGACGTGGCTTTCTGTAGAGGATGACCCCAGCGTGTTGGAAGACGAGGTAGCTCTGGAACTGGAGATTGTGGAGCAGAACATGGCAACCTTGGAGGTTGATGCCTCTACTGACGACGAAGATGGCGGGGATAGGCCAGCCTCGTGTATTATATCTTCGATGACAGAGGCTCAGGTCCGCGCTAGCTTAGAGAGTGTTCGCTCCTACTTAGGCGCTCCAGTAGAGAGTAACGCAGGAGAGTTTCTGCGTGCGCTCCCCCAGGGGTAAACAACAGTCACCAGGTGAATTTGAAGTGTCCATCAGGTGTTTTCCGTGCTGTGTGGTGGTGTTCAGCAAGAAACAATTATTTTCTCGCCGATTCCCAGCCTCCTTTTTTATTCCAACAATGCCCTGCCCAGGGCGCACCTTTTGACGTATGTACCGCCACCATTGACCCCGGGAATGGTGCGTTCTGATCCCCTGAAGTTTAAGGGAACTTCCCCGCGTTAAGGAAACATTTTTCGAAGCAAAACCATATGTTTCCTTAAAGCGGGGTCGACTGTATTTTTTTCGAGTTGATGTACCGTCAAGTGTGTTTGATGTTATGCATATGGGAACGAGCAGTGGCCAAAATCGGGTACACCGGGTCCAAACGCGGCCATAATCGGGTACCCCTACAAGACGCTGCTGGGAGCGACCGCATGACACCATCTGATTGCCCGACACCCACTCCTACCCGACCTTGACCATCTTTCCACCGGGTGCACCCGATCTTGGCTACGCACCCTCCGCAGGGGTACCTGGTTTTTCTTTCCCCTACCCGAAAATGACTGGGCTGTTCGGCCAAAACACATGCACACAATCACGGGTCGGACGCACACCGTTGGCCCTCGTTTGTCGCCAATGAGAAAGCAGCGGGAGGGAGAGACTATATCCATTTTTAGATGAGTCTCGTGTGTGTCGCATCTCGTGAGTGATGAGGTATTCATCCCGCTCTTCTTCTCGATCATTTGCACAGACCGCCTGCCGTTTCCCCACGGAAGACTTCCACCGCCGGCGGGGGGTTTGCCTCCGCCCGCCGGGCCGTCAGAATGTCCGAATTCGAGGGCAAGGCGTTGCTGACGTGTAATTGTGTGCATGGGTTTCGGTCGAACAGCCCAACCCAGCCATTTTCAGGTAGGGGAAAGAAAAACCAGGTACCCCTCCGGGGGGTGCGTAGCCAAGATCGGGTGTACCCACCGGGTGCACCCGGTGGAAAGACGGTCAAGGTTGGGTAGAGGCGGGCGTCGCCAATCAGATGGTGTCTTGCGGTCGCTTCCAGCAGCGTCTTGTAGGAGTACGCGATTATGGCCGTGTTTGGACCGGATGTACCCGATTTTGGCCACTACTCTATGGGAAAGGTCGTGCGTGACTTGATAGACGGCGGTCTCATCCAGGGATTCACAGGCCGGTGATGTGTTCGGATTCTTTCGACGCCACGCTTTTGGCTGTTGAGGAAGGTGGTCAGAATTTGAGATTCAACTACATACACAAGACCGCACCTTTCGAATGTCACCTACCATCGGGACAGGATACGCAGATTGGTTTCTCAAACGATGCTGTTCATTTCTGGGTGAATGTAGACGGCGGATGTCGTTCATGCTCCTAGTGTTGGGAAACGCTGCAGCGTTTGTGTGTGACCGCGGCTGGTGCGTCAAGTAGATAACCGAACGGTGGAGACTGGCGCCCAGGATAAGTGAGACAATTTATGGTCTACTTTGTGACGCAGAATAATATATATATCGTTGCTGCCCTCCAGCGCTGATCGTTTGTGCACGCTCATCGCTGCCGGCCGGTTTCGTACCACCTTTTGCTCTAAGTTTGGGCCTCACAACGAAGTAGCCGTACTGTGCACCACGCAACATCGCCCGTTTTTCAGCTTATAGCGGGCAGCACCGTGTTGTTTGTGGAAACACTATTCAAATGGACGTGTCACTTTCATCGGCACGAGGTATCATGATTAAGCAACAGCAACAACGAGCCTGTGCGGGAAACAACCACAATCTACAAACTCACCATCGTTTCGTCGCTAAGATCGCCGTCCTCCACCCCTTCACCGCGGCTGTTCCCGTCGCCCCCACCAGTCTGTTATTTCTCCCCGGCCCCAACTCTCTGGCCATGCGGTACGGTCATACCTCCTCCCCATACCCATCGATGCCGTCGGAACCCCATTCCTCGTTATCGCTGCAATTTTGGAACATTCATCATGAATTTCCACTTCTTCTCCAATCTCACCAACGTCATTCGATCATTGCTTTTGACCTATCCGTGGCCACGCGATGCCACGCTTCTCGAACAAAATGTAGTGAAACCGGTACATACCTACATACATAGCTTCGACGGAGTGCTCGAGGTGCGGCTTCACCCGTTCTCTCGTTGGGGAGACCGTATTTCCGTAATACTTCTTCTCACCTTAACAATACCATAGACCGATAGACCGATAGACGGATTTCCTGCGGGTTGAGGGCTCAAGAGACCGCAGGAAATGCAATCCTGATGTTCTCGTGAGCCTGGAGCCCTTTTTTCGCGGTTTCTCCGCCCGTAGACCTCGCCTCGAAGCGAGACTTGCACCTACCGATAGCCCTGTGTTGCGAGGGCTCTCCTGGCGTGCCGCGCGCTCTCGGGGCGGACTGCTTGCAGCGCAGACGAGGGCAGAATGTCGCGTCTCCGACATCTACCATGGATCCACCAATCACGCCCTGATTTCTTGACAGTGCCGGCCGTTCATCAAGGCACATGCAATACTGCTGTGGGTATATGCTTGGATTTTTTGTATACAAAATTTCTTACCTTGCCCACGTCATAAAAGGTATTTCTTCCCTATATCCTGTGTTTCTATGGCGAATATATGTAGACTTTATGTTTTTTGCATTCCTCTTTAATTGCTATCAACACAGGGAGTGGATCTTGCGCATGTATTACAGTACTGGGCCCTCTATAGTGTAGGGGTGTGTCCAAAGATTTTACCTGCACTATAGCGGGCACCTGCACTATTCAGAATAGTGCGTCAATCGTGCAGGTTCGGCGCTATTGAGGCTTTGAGTATATTATACCTCAATTGTGCAGGTCCGGTACTATTGAGGAGATGCTTGATTTCATTGTGTAGCGCTCATGCGTCGCGTACGAAATGGATCGAACTACAGTAGTGCTGGGCCCTGTTCTAGCGTGGGTGTGGGCAGGCTGTCCCGCGACCCGTGTGGTTCCCCCCTGTCGCACACACAGAGATGTAGAAAAATTACATGCAAGTTAAATCGTTACTTTCTTCTTGTCTCAGCACTCGTACTACTGCACACCGTGAACTGTCCCATGAACCAATCCTTCAACATTAATACTTAGACTAGTCTAGTGGACGTAGCTATATCTCAGTCCTCGCCGCCCTCGTTCGATGTTGCAAAAAAAAAAAAAAACACGCCAGGAACCGCACAACAAGAAAACAAACAACCACTACTGCTACAGCTGTAGACTATGTCACCCCGCCTCACTACGTCGCGAAAAATTCTCGTATGTCTGCCTGGCGCATTCATCAATTGAGAATCTCAAGCTTCGTGTTGTTGTCTGGCCGCGCACAACAACCAGATCCTTTCTTACTCCCCGCCTTTGTTTTCTTCGGGCGTGCGTTTAGATGGATGGTCCCGCCCCAGCACCCTGAGCTGGTGTCGCATTGCGCTTGCCAGCCTTTGCGACGCACTTGCTGCAGATGCGGTGCTTTTCGTCGTCCTCGAACATGCTGCCGCCATTGCCGTGGAGCCGCCAGCCACACCCTCCCTTGCAGACGGGGCCATGAGGGACTTGTGGCGTTCTGCTTGTTGATGGCGGCACAGTTCACCGTCCGCACAAGGCTTGTTGCGTCCCTGCGTGAACTTTCGGGTCTGCAGCAGCACGTGTGCCCTGGTTTCTGTGTTGCGTCTGTCAGCTGTCTTATCCGTGTGTGTTTCTTTTACTAATAGCATCGACCTCGCTAACCGGCTGACCAATGAAATACGTCAGTCAGTGCGATTGAAAAAAAAAAACACTTGTAGACTCTCGTTTCTTCCCCTCGCTGCCTCGGCAAGGTTTTGCGTAGGCATGACCCATAGCGAGGGGGGGGGNCGTCCCTGCGTGAACTTTCGGGTCTGCAGCAGCACGTGTGCCCTGGTTTCTGTGTTGCGTCTGTCAGCTGTCTTATCCGTGTGTGTTTCTTTTACTAATAGCATCGACCTCGCTAACCGGCTGACCAATGAAATACGTCAGTCAGTGCGATTGAAAAAAAAAAACACTTGTAGACTCTCGTTTCTTCCCCTCGCTGCCTCGGCAAGGTTTTGCGTAGGCATGACCCATA